GGCGGGGGGAGGCGGAGCCTGCAAGAGCCCGCGGCCCGGGCCTGACAGGTAGGATACCGAGTCCCGGAGGGCCCTGGCCCTTTCGGACGCCACCGTCCCGAGGCTTTTAGGAATCGCAAAGGGCGCTGGGCGCATGCGCACGGGCGGAGAAGGTGGGCTAGGAGCTGGCGCGAGGTGAGCGTGGCGTCCGTGTGGGCGTGGCCGGGGTGGGCGTGGTGTGGGCGCTTTCCCAGCCCCGGCCCGGGCAGCGAGCGTCTGCGGGCGAGCTGCGCAAGGCTGCTGGGTCCGGGTGGGCTGGACCCGGCTAAGATGGGGCGATGAGGTCCCTGTGCCATGCTTTTGTGGCTTTGGGATGACGATTTCCTAACTCCGTGGCTCTGCGCTGCCACAGTGCACGTTACTCAAGTCCGTGGGCAGTATGCCCTTTACCCGGGTCGCAGAGAGGAGGACGCGGAGGTTTCCAGCCAGAAATTACCCCGTGCCTAGCCAAGGGGTCCTGGCGGTCCAGTCTGCAGCGCGTAGGCCGCCAGAGATAAGGAGGGCACCTGGAGCCCAGTGCAGCACCGTCCTCCCCAGGCCTACAGTACACCAACCACACAGCGCTCCGTGCTCACCTCCCTAGTCGGGCAGCGTGCTCTTCCCGGTTCTTAGATTCAGGCTCTGCCCACGGCCAGACCTGCAGTAACCCTCTGCACCTGCTCGGTGACACGAGTGTAAAATCTAACACAGAGAGAACAGGTTTAACTGAGGATTGGGAATGCTGTTAAACAAAACACCAGTAATAGGGGATGCTAAAGAGACACCTGAGGGGATCAGGCCACAGATAGAGACCTTGATAGCAAAAGGCTTTTCTTTTCTTTTTTGAGAGGTTTTTGCTATAGGGCGCGTGTGCTCGCCAGACAGACAGACAGATAGAAAGCGAGAAATCACCCCCCAGGGGGGATGGCCACCTCTGCAATCCCTTCTCCTCCATTCTCCTCTCCAGATCTTGAGCACGCACGCACACACGCCCGGCATGAGTTTAAGCCACACGGGTCAGGGACTCGAACAGGGGTCGACTACGTGGGAGTCCAGTGACATAGCCATTATGCCAACTGCTGGTCCTGCGAAAGGCTTTTCAAACCCAGAGCCTTTGAACCGAGTTCCCAGTTTTCAGAAGGTCTTCCTTCATTTCAGCTCCTACTCTCACCGCAAGCAGATGAGGGCCATAGTGTTGCCTTGCTGGATATGGGGGCCCATGAGAAACGGACTTTTTTAAAGTCTCAAAGTTCATCTAAAAAAAAAAATGGGGGCCAGCAGATGGCGTACGCTGTCGCTGGACTTCATGTAGTTGACAGCAGTTCAAGCCCCAGACCCGGAGGCTTAAAGCTCACGCTAGGCATGTGTATGTGCCCAAAATCTGGAGAGGAGAAGGGATTGCAGGTGGCCATCCTGGGGGCGGGGGGATTCTCCCTTTCTTTCTCTCTGTCTCTCCAGCAAGCGCATGCATCCTATAGCAAAAATCTCTCCATTAAAAAAAATGAAGATTTTGAATTCTACTTCAGAGTGTACCCATACTTTTTTAGAGATATTTTTGCTACAGGGCATGTGCAGTCACTAGAGAGACAGAGAAGCAGAGAGACAGAAAGCAAGAAATCACCCCCCCAAGGGGGCAGCCATGCTGCAATCCCTTTTCTGTTCTTCTCTCAGGATTTTGGGGATGCATGCACATGCTCCTGGTGTGAGTTTTAAGCCACCGGGTCTGGGACTCAAACTGTAGTCGACTATGTGGGAGTCCAGCAATGTAACTGTTACACCATCTGCTTGGTCCCATCCATCCATACTTTAATATTGGGTTGTCAGGAAAGTCATGATGCATTTGTGCATAGAGAAAAAAAATTCATCATGGCTTTCTTGACAACCTAATATAAAAATAGTATTTTATCCATTGAAGTATAACAAACATACAATTGAGTGTACAGATCTTTAATATTATATTAGTTTTGACAGTTATATTTTATATACCTACATAACGACCACCCAAAATTAAAATGACATTTAAAACTGCTTATTTGTCAAATAAATTTCACATTTCAGAAAGACACAGAAGTTCTCTGTGTGCTTTGAATAGTCGTTGGCATAGGGCCACCTGTCTCTGTATAAGAAGCATGGACTGGGACCAGCAGTTGGCGTAATGGCTACATCGCTGGACTCCCAAGTACTCAACCGCGGTTCGAGTCCTGGACCCAGTGGCTTAAACTCTCGCCGGGCTCGTGTGTGTGTGCCCAAGATCCTGAGCGGAGAAAAGAGGAGAAGGGATTGCAGAGCCCAGCAGGTGGCATAGTGGTTAAGGCACTGGACTCCTACATGGGGCCCACAGTTTGAGGCCTAAACCTGAAGGCGTGAAGACCATGCTGGGCACGAGTGCAAGGGACCCCCAAAATCTCAAGAGAAGAATGGAGGAGAAGGGATTTCTGTGTGACCATCCACCCTGGGGTGTAATTCTGACTTTCCCTCTCTTCATTTCTCTCTGGTGAGAACATGTGCCCTATGGCAAAAACCTTAAAAAAAAAAATTCAGGACCTGCAGATGGTGCAGTGGTTATGTCTGTGGACTCCCATGTAGTCGACCACGGTTCGAGTACCAGACCTGGCAGCTTCAAACTCACACTGGGCACATTTGCGTGCATGCCCAAGATCCCTAGAGGAGAAGGGATTGTGGCCTAAGCATAGCCCCGGAGGGTTCATTTCTCACTTTCCATCTCTCTGTATTTCCAGTAAGCAAAAATCTGTCAAAAGAAAGAAAGAAAGAAAGAGCGAAAGAAAGAGATGTCCTAACCCACCTACAGCCTGTCAGCCTTTGGTTTTACCGACGTCTCGCCCTTTGAGGCCAGGCCGATGCAAAGACTCCTCATACGGACGACAGCTGTGTTCATGTCTCCTCTTCTCAGAGCTACAGGAAAGAACCCCTGCGTCCGAGTGCCCGCATTGCTTTTAGGGGCAGTCACTGGACTCTGTGCTTAAGATGAGCTCTTCGCGCTGTTTCTGCAGGCGGCTGCTCCCGTTGGCATGCGTGAGTGTGCTTTGCAGCCCTGGGTTGAGCCAACTGTGCTCTACCTGGAAGCCTGAGTAATTCATTGGTTGAGTCATCTGGACTTCAGGGTGCAAGGCCGGTTTGGCAGTGACAGCCTGAGCAGTTCCCTGTCGTCAGTGTTCAGGGTTGCAGCTACTTCTGTGGCAGAGCCAGGACCACTCAGTCAGACTCTCGTGGAAACCTAACTCGGACTGGGACGCGGCCCCAGAGTTCAGATTAATAACCAGTGTTTAAGAGCGTCCTGTCTCAGCTAGCGGCTTCTGGCAGTTTCTGAAGAGAAAAGCCTTTGAGATTGTTTAAATTTGCTTTCACCTTTATGCCTAACAGTGCAGGTGCCTGGAGCGGATGATTCAGCAGAGTCCTCGTCCCCAGGGACTGCAGGGTCAAGGAGCAGCTGCAGTGGCATTGCAGGTCTCCGGGTGTCTGGTAGCTCAGCCAAGGCCCTAGCGCAGACGCCGTAAGCAGGAACCCGTCTTTCTTACCCCTGCAGGCGGTGGGCGTGGAGTTTTATTTGTTGAATATCTTACTGGAATTTCATTGTGTGTATTTATTTATTTACTGATTGGCGGGAAGAAGCCAGAGGAGGAATCATCTAGCTCTTTTAAAAGAGAGAGTGAAACATGGACCCTGTACTCCCTGAAGAGCCGACACCCATGAGTCTGCTTGCCGGTTCAGGGTCTGAGATGCTGACAAAGAGCCATGTCACGGCTTTCTCCCATCTTGGTGCAGAGTCCCCAGACAAGCAGGTAATACCAGAGGAGCTGTAAGTACGGCCTCTGGAGAAAAACCGTTTTAAAGGCTACAGCTTCTGTCGGCAGTACCCTCTAAAGCCCCCGAATTCTGACAATACATTTAAATGTCAGCAGACGAGCGAGGCAGTGAGAAAACCGTGAACGTTGTGAGGTGTAACACTGCTCTCAGTCTGCACGTGCGTGCGTGTCCCCACGTGTGCGTGTCTGGGGGGCATCATCAGTTCTGCCAGAGACTGCAAGTTGGTCTCCAGAGTCGTTGTCACCAACACGGACGCCCCACACCTGCCAGAGCTGCCCTTTCCTCACACCCTCGGCTGCGAAGCGTAACAAGTGGTCGCGCTGCTTCCATCTCCTGCCTACTGGACACCTCCTGGGGTTTCTTTCGGGGGATCTCCTATCTGAATTGCTTGCCCATTTCTTTATAGCTTTTTTATTGATGTGTAGATATTCTTTATATATCCCGAGTGCGAATTCTTTGCATTTTTTGTTTTTAGGTTTTTGCCATGGGGC